TAGCAACTCTCAGTTTGTTTCCTATACTTAAGAGTCTCTTACTGTTTGTCTCCCTCTCTGATTTCATATTTTATTTTTCCCTCTCTTCCCCTATGATCCCGTTTTGTTTCTTAAATTCCACATCAGAAGGAAACAATATGATAATTGTCCTTCTCTGATCAATTGACTTATTTCACTTAGCATAATACCCTCCAGTTCCTTCCACATTGTTGTAAATGGTAAGATTTCATACTTCTTGATGGCTGAGTAATACTCCATTGTGTGTGTGTGTATCACATCTTTTTTTTTAAGATTTTATTTATTCATGAGAGACACACAGAGAGAGAGGCAGAGGCACAGGCAGAGGGGAAGCAGCCTCCATTCAGGAAGCCTCTTGTGGGACTTGATCCCGGGACCCCAGGTTCATGCCCTGGGCCAAAGGCAGGTGCTTAACCACTGAGCCACCCAGGGATTCCCTATATCATCCAATTTATCCATTTATCTGTCAAGGGACATCTGGGCTCTTTCCATAGTTAGGCTATCCTGGACATTGCTGCTATAAACATTGGGGTTCAGGTACCCTTTGGATTACTGCATTTGAATCTTTGGAATAAATACTGAGTAGTGTAATTTCTAGGTCATAGAGTAGCTATATTTTTAACTTCTTGAGGAACCTTCATACTGTTTTCCAGAGAATGCACCAGCTTGCATTCCCAACAACAGTGTAAGAGGGTTCTCCTTTCTCTGTATCCTCACCAGCATTTGTTGTTTCCTGACTTGTTAATTTTAGCCATTCTGACCCCTGTGAAGTAGTATCTCATTGTGGTTTTGACTTGTATTTCCCTGATGCCAAGGGATGTCAAGCATTTTTTATGTGTTTGTTGGCCCCTTGTATGTCTTCTTTGGAGAAATGTCTGTTCATGCCCTCTGCCCATTTCTTGACTGGATTATTTGTTCTTTGGGTGTTGAATTTGATAAGTTCTTTATAGATCTTAGATACTAGCCATTTATCTGATATGTCATTTGCAAATATCTTCTCCCATTCTGTCAGTTGTTTTTTGATTCTTTCAACTGTTCTCTTTGCTGTGCAAAAGCTGTTTATCTTCATGAAGTCTCAATAGTTCATTTTTGCTTTTGTTTCCTTTGCCTGTGGTGATGTATATAGTAAGAAGTTGGTATGACTGAGGTCAAAGAAGTTTCTGTCACTGTTCTCTAAGATTTTGATGGTTTCTTCTCTTATAGTAAAGTCTTTCATCCATTTTGAATTTATTTTGTGTATGGTGTAAGAAAGTGGTCCAGTTCCATTCTTCTGCATGTGGCTATCCAACACCATTTGTTGAAGAGACTGTCTTTTTTCCATTGGCTATTCTTTCCTGCTTTGCCGAAATTATTTGGCCATAGAGCTGAGGGTCCGTTTCTGGGCTATCTCTTCTCTTCCATTGATCTATGTGTTTTTGTGCCACTATCATACTGTCTTGATGATTACAGCTTTGTCATATAGCTTGAAGTATGGAATTGTGATGCCACCAGCTTTGTTTTTCTTTTTCAACATTCCTCTGGCAATTCAGGGCCTTTTCTGATTTCATACAAATTTTAGGATTATTTGTTCCTCCTGTGTGAAAAAAGTTGATAGTATTTGAATACGGACTTGCATTGAATATGTAGATTGCTGTGGGTAGCATAGACATTTTAATAATATTTGTTCTCCCCATCTATGAGCATGGGATGTTTTTCCATTTCGTTGTGTCTTACTCAATTTCTGTCATATGATGTATAATTTTCAGAGTACAGATCCTTTGCCTCTTTGATTAGGTTTATTCCTAGTTATCTTGGTTTTTGGTGCAATTGTAAATGGGATCAATTACTTTATCTCTGTTTCTTCTGTCTCATTGTTAGTGTATAGAAATGCAACTGATTGCTGTGCATTGATTTTATATCCTTCCATGTTGCTGAAATCCTATATGAGATCTAACAATTTTTTGGTGGAATCTTTTGGGTTTTCTGTGTAAAGTATCATGTCATATAGAAAAAGTGAGAGTCTGACTTCTTCTTTGCTGGTTTTGATGCCTTTTATTTCTTTTTTATTGTCTTATTGCTGAGGCTAGGACTTCTAGTACTATATTGAATGACAGTGGTGAGAGTGGACATCCCTGTTGTGTTCCTCTATGTAGGGGAAAAGCTTTCAGTTTTTCCCCATTGAAAATGATACTCACTGTGGGCTTTTCTTAGATGGCTTTTACGATACTGAGATATGTTCCCTCTATCCCTATATTGTGAAGAGTTTTAATCAAGAAAAGATGCGGTTTTTTGTCAAGTGCCTTTTCTGTATCAATTGAGAGGATCATATGGTATTGTCTTTTATTTTATTAATGTGATGTATCACATTGATTGATTTGCAGATGTTGAACTACAGCCTAGGAATAAATCCCACTTGGTTGTGGTGAATAATCCTTTTAATGTAATGTTGGATCCTATTGGCCAGTATCTTGGTGAGAATTTTGGCATCCATGTTCATCAGTGATATTGGTCTATAATTCTCTTTTTTTGGTGAAGTCTTTGGTTTTGGGATCAAGGTAATGCTGGCCTCATAGAATGAGTTTGGAAGTTTTCCTTCCCTTTCTTTCTTTCTTTCTTTCTTTCTTTCTTTCTTTCTTTCTTTTTCTTTCTTTCTTTCTTTTTTTTTTGAAACAGCATCAGAAGAATAGGTATTAAATTCTTCTCTAAATGTTTGGTAAAATTCCCCTGGGAAGTCATCAGGCCCTGAATTCTTGCTTATTGGAAAGTTTTTGATTACTGCTTTAGTTTCCTTTCTGATTATGGGTCTATTTAAGTTTTCTATTTCTTCCTGTTTCAGTTTTGGTAGTTTTTATGTTCCTAGAAATCCATCCATTTCTTGCAGATTGCCTAATTTGTTAACCTATAGTTGGTCATAATATGTTCTTATAATTGCATTTCTTCAGTGTTGGTTGTGATCTCTCCTTTTTCATTCGTGATTTTATTAATTCGGGTCCTTTCTCTTTTCTTTGTGAGAAATCTGGCTGGGAGTTTTTTTTATCTTATTAAGTCTTTCAGAGAATCAGCTCCTAGTTTTGTTGATCTGTTCTACTGTTCTTTTAGTTTCTATTCCATTGATTTCTGCTCTAATCTTTATTAATTCTCTTCTCCTGCTGGGTTTAGGCTTTATTTGCTATTCTTTTTCCAGCTCCTTTAGGTGTAGGATTAGCTTGTGTATTTGAGGTTTTTCTTGTTTCTTGAGAAAGGCTTGTATCGCTATACACTTCCCTCTTAGGACCACCTTTCCTATATCCCAAAGGTTCTGAACTGTTGTGCTTTTATTTTCATTTGCTTCCATTAATTATTTAAATTCTTTTTAAATTTCCTGGTGGTTCCATTCATTCTTTAGTAGGATGCTCTTTAGCCTCCAAATATTTGAGTTTCTTCCAAATTTCCTCCTGGAATTGAGTTCAAGTTTCAAAGCATTGAGGTCTGAGAATGGGGAATAACCCCAGTCTTTTGGTACTGGTTGAGACTTAATTTTGTGACCAGTATGTGATCTATTTTGGAGAATGTTCCATGCTCACTCATGGAGAATGTGTATTCTGTTGCTTTAGGATGAAATGCTCTGAATATATCTGTGAAGTCCATTTGGTCCAGTGTGTCAATGTCCTTGTTTCCTTGTTGATCCTCTGCCTAGATGATCTGTCCATTGCTGTGAGTGGGGTGTTAAAATTCCCTACTATTATTGTATTATCAATGTATTCCTTTAATTTTGTTATTAATTGGTTTATATAATTGGTGGCTCTCAAGTTAGGGGCATAAATATTTACAATAGTTAGATATTCTTGTTAGACCCTTTAAGTATGACATAATGGCCTTCTTATTACAGTTTTTGGTTTAAAATCGAATTTGTCTGATATAACGATTGCTATGCCAGTTTTCTTTTGATGTTCATTAGCATGATAAATGGTTCTCCACCATTTCAGTCACTTCAGTCTGGATGTGTCTTTGGGTCTAAAATGAATCTCGTAGACAGCATATGGATGGGTCTTACTTTTTATCCAATTTTGTACCCTGTGTCTTTTGATTGGGGCATTTAGCCCATTTACATTCAGAGTAATTACTGAAAGATATGAATGTAATGCCATGTATTACCTGTAATGTCCCTGTTTCTGTATATTGTCTCTGTTACTTCCTGGTCTGTGTTACTTTTGGGCTTTCTCTTTGCTTAAAGGATCCCCTTTAATAGTTCTTGCAGTGTTGGTTTAGTGATCACAAATTATTTTGGTTTCTATTTGTTCTGGAAGCTCTTTATCTCTCCTTTCATCCTGAATGATAGCCTTCCTGGATAAAGTGTTCCTGGTTGCATGTTTTTCTAATTTAGCACCTTGAATATATCATGTCAGTCCTTTCTGGCCTACCTGGTCTCTGTGGACAGGCCTGCTGCCAGCCTTATATTTCTACCCTTGTAGGTTATGGACCTCTTCTCTTGAGCTGCCCTCAGGATATTCTCTTTATCTCTGAAATTGGCAAGTTTCACTATTATATGTTGGGATGTTGATCTATTTTATTGATTTTACAGAGGTTCTCTGTGATTCTTGGACTTAAATGCTTGTTTCCTTCCCCAGATTAGGGAAGTTCTCAGTTATAATATGTTCAAATAAATTTTCTGCCTCTCTCTCTCTCTTTTTTCTCATCTTACAGAACACCTGTTATTATTATGGTATCATCAATTCTTCAAAGCCTCTCCTCATGATCCAATTGTTGTCTTTCTCTGTTTTTCTCAGCTTCCTTACTTTCTATCATTTTGTCTTCTACATCATGGATTCTCTCACTCTTTTTGAAGAATACAGAAGTATTTTTATTTTTTCATTTAAAGATGCAAAACACAAATGTTCATTTGACATACATTCACATATTCACATATAACTTTTTCTCTCACATTTACAACTCAATAGGTTGGTGAATCCAAAGGAACTGGTATAATTACAACATGGATCATCTTGTATTAGTATTTCAATAGTTTATTCCAATCCATTTCTTCTTTTATACTCTAAAACATCTTCATTATGTTGTTTGATGAGGTAGATCCACAAGAATACAGAGGTGCCCAAGGTCAGTCCAACTTTCAGCCAATCAAGTCTGTCCTGTGGCAGCTCCTGAACATAGAACTTTGATCGCGCTGAAGAGCCACCTGGGAGAATGGTAGGAGACAGGAGCTTGGAGAACAGGTGCAACAATGTGGGCAGCGCCATCTTGCTGGACTGGGCCCCATGGACTCTCTCTTCTGCCTCGTTTACCCTAGAAGTTAAAGACTCCAATTTTGACGGCATCTCAGTAATAGCATTTTTTTTTTATTTTGGTCTGATTCGATCTTAATTCTTTTATTTCTGAACTAAAGGATTCTCTAGTGTCTTTTATGCTTTTCCACCTACTAGTATGTTTATAATCATTGTTTTGAATTCCATTTCTGACATTTTATTTATATCCATATTGATTAAATCTATGGCAGAGAGTATTATCTCTGGTTCTTTCTTTTGATATGAATTACCCCTTCTAGTCATTTGGTCCAGAAAAGGAAGGGGGAAAGAATGAGAAAGAAAAAAAAAAAAAGGAAAAAAACCCAGCAAAAAAGCAATAATAATAACAACAACAACATCTTTAGGGAGTGATTCTGGTGTATGCTGCATACAGTTTGCTGTTGTGTTTTATCTGCTCTTTCCCATTGGTCCTTCCTCTACAGAGTTCCTCCTTGCTGATAGTGGGAAAGTTTGTTCCCTTAAGTAGGAATGCTTTTATTTGTTTGTGAAATTAAGCCAGAACCTGATATTTTGGAGCTTTATTTAATCAATGGACTTGGAATATGCTGGAGTTATGTCAGTATTCTGAGGGAGAGGCTTCTGTGCTGGCTCACAAGCTGACTTAAAGGGCATGCAAGATCTTAAAACATTTATTTCTCATATACCTTTTCTCTGGAAGTCACTGAGAGAATCCAAGCTTGAGTTGAATATGAAGCTGCTGCCTCTGGGAAGGAGGAAATGGTAAGTGAGGGGAAGAGGACCTGCTGTATTTCACAATCAGCATTAGAGAAAGCTTGTATACTAAAGAATCATCTGTGTTTTAGAAATGGAGAGAGTGGCAAATATAAATATGTTTTTATATGCCTAGAATAATTCATCAAAATCTCTGTTGAGTCTACCTTCAAAATAAACCCCAATTCCAGCCATATCTCTCCCCTGCATTGTGCTTATCCTTCAGAAAGCCATCATTCAATACCTACACTAGGTTAGCAGCCTCTCATTGTTTGACTGGCCTCCCTGCTTCCATCCTTTGGTCTAGTCTCCACACAGCAGCCCAAGGAATCCAATTAAAAGAGAAATTACATCATACTCTCCCCCTGTTCAAAATTCTTAAAGCATTTTTTCAATCCACCAAATAAAACTGGACTCCTCACCAGAGCTCCTAGCATCATGTGATCTGGTTCTGACCTCATGCTTTTCTTGTTCTAGTTCATTCTCACCTCAGGGTCTTTGCAACTCATTTCCACTCTGCCTAGAGTGCTTTTCCCAGATACTATGAGGCTGGCTACTCACTCAGATCTGTGCTCAAATCTCATCTCCCCAGAGGAAACTTTCTTAGTTCCTGTCTCTGGACCCTCCCTCCCTACACACCACCTACCTATCATTAGCTATCACCCCACCCTCCTCTATTTTTCTTCATAGCACTTAGCACCAGTTAACATTTAATTATATACTTAATATTTAGTTGTTTATTAGCTGTCTCCCCCAACAGAATGTAGTTAAGTGTCCCATGAGGAACGCTACACTACAATCCCATGACAGAAGCTATATTTGTCTGTTTTATTTATTGCACTTATCCCCAAGCTCCTAAAGAAGGATCTAGTACATGACAGCTATTAATACATCTCTTTTGAATAAATTAATAAATGAAGAAAAATACACACACACACACACAAAAACCCCAACTATTTATAGTAGCTGCTTTGGGGAAGGAAATTGGGAACTTGGGTGTCAGGCGTGAGAGAGCAAGAGAGACTTACTTTTCACTTCTCTATGTCTCACAACCTTCAAACTCCTCCAGCAGCCAGAGTTCAGGCAGTGGTCTCCTCAGGACCACTTACCAAGGTATACTAGTACCTTGGTGCAAAAGGGAAATGTGAGAACATTTATTTAGATTTACTTTTTTCCTAAAAGAAAGAAGGCATTATTCACATTGAATTTGTAGATTTTTGAGTACATGTAAATAATTTATAAATTACATTCTGAATTGCATGTTCTTTTTTTTTTTTTTAACTGATGAGGGTATAATATCAATAGAATTTGGTCTGTAAATTTGGCCACAAACTGATATATTTTATTTGTCTCACAGTGTTTTAAAATTGTTTGAAACAACATTCAGGTCCAAAAACTTCACCTAAGATTCCAGATGTCTGAGTTTTTTGAGACACCAGAGTTGCTGTCGGTATCAGTCCTGTGATTCATAGAGCCACATGAGCATAGTCCTGTTTAGAAGGCATGTAATCCTATGCACCATGGTTTTCCCAACAGCTTTCTGTGGGTTCTCACATTCAGCTCATTCCACTTACTGCAGCCATTTCAGTTTATGGTCCTTTTCTGACTGTTTCTCAACCTAAGCAAAATAATTTGTACCAGCTAGCTCCAAAGATTGAGTTCAGAACTATGCGTATCTCTGCACTGCCCTTACTCATTCAATCCTGTTGAGCAAGAGTAATAGGGGACAGAGCAGATGTTGGCACAACCATGATTAACTGGAGAGTGTGAATCACAATCCCTTGGATGTGTCCTGGCTAAGAGCAGGCTGAGAGCCACTGATCTGCAATTTTGTGCCTTGATATCCTAATTATATGCAGTCCTTCTTTGTTATATTTATCTCTACAGCCTCATGGAAATGTCTTATAAGAAATGCTATGCATGTAGCACCTCTGAGTTCCTCAGAGTATTGAGTATTGAGAACATTTAATAGAGACTTGTTGCTTAAATGAGATTAAAAAGCATGTATATACCTGAAACTAATATAACATTGTATGTTAATCATACTTAAATTTTTAAAAAAGCATGTTTACTGCCAGTACTTATATCACCATTGTTTGTATAGTTAAATATGTGGACGTAGTAAAAGACATTACCTATATACACACACAAATGTATGTTCATTTAGTAATACCAGGAAGAATGTCTTGATTGAGAAAGAAAAATTATTTCTCTGAATACCTAGGGAAATGGCTTTGTTATAACAGGTACACTATAATAATGTATTAATGGATGAATAAATGAGTGAATAAAGTCCACAATATCCAACTGGTTAATAATCATAGGTGCTATTTATTAAGCATTATCTGTGGACTGGCCACTGAGCGAAGTCTTTAATGTCATTTTCTCATTTAATCCTCACAATAATTAAAAATAGGCAGTGTGTTTTTTTTCTTTTACTATTACAAACAAGGAACTAAGACTTAGAAAAGTGAAAGAAGTAGTCCACAGCCACACTACTAAATGGCAGACCTAGAATTCAAACCCGGGACTTCCCAAAGCTAGTAGTCTTTACTAAGAAAAACCAAAAACCAAGCAACCAAACAAAAAACACTGTGGATGAGAAGATGTTGAAATTTCTCCAATATACATACTTTTCCAATTCATCCAATGACTTAGTTGTCACGAAAAATAAGCTACAAAATCAGCATATTCTGCAAGAACAAATCAGAAGTTAAGGATAGTCTTTAACCAAATTAATAGAGGGAGAGAAAAAAACAACAAAGAGTCTTCAAATAAAACCCAGGACAGGTTTAAGTACATGGCCAATAGAAGTTACAATGTTCACATTTTTAAAATTTGATCAGAAATGACCCTGAAAAACAGTAGACAGTTAGAAGTTACTTGTTATAAAAATGGAAAGTTGCTCCTTGGGCACAACTTCTATTTATTGTAGATTAAAAGTAGTGACTAAATCAATTATTTAAAAAAAAATACAAGAGCAAAAGTCCAGTTGCCATCCAACGGAGCACTTCCTACATGACTAAAGCACTGCTGGGCAAAAGAGATGTAAACAGGTTACAGGCTTAGGCTCTACTCCCAAGGAATTCATCATCTGCTGGAGAAGTTGAGGAGTCAATGCATGACAGAAAGAGACCAGTAGGTCAAGTGAGACCCAACCTGGATGGCCCTGCCAGGACCGATGGCTGTCAAATGGAGAATTTGGGGGCAGACAACAAAGGATTAAGAGACCACTCTCAGCCCAGGCTGCATACAATAGCGTACAGCACTGAGAGAGAGACTAGTTAACTAGAGTCCTTCTTAAGATAAAAGACTTAAATAAATTGATCAGAATTGTTCTGAACATGATAAGGAACTTCAGATGGCAGAGTGAGGAAACTATTGAATAGGAAGAGATATACAAGTCTCTCCAGTAGAAGACACGTTCAAAGCAATTTGTTCAATGAAAAGGAAAATATGTTGATTAGATGGAAAGTTGAGGTTGTGTGTGGTTGTGTTTGTGCACATGTGTGCACATTTGTGTGTGTGTGTGTGTGTGTGTGTGTGTGCGCGCGAGAGAGCGCACGTGCACATGCGGGACGGTAAGTAAAAATATCCAAGATCTCCTAAGCTGGCTGGTAGACCATATACGGAGTAATGTGAAGGAGATTCTTAGTTTTACTTTTGAAATTTTTCCATTTTTTCTCTAATTGAACAAATAATACACGGATATATTTTATTTTCCAGAATTACAAAAATTATGGGTCAAAATAAAGTCTCTTTTGGCCACATCCAAATCTCAACACCTCCTTAAATGATATTTTTCTGAAATGTGAAGTGTAAGCACTTGTAGTATTTGAGCATGAGTCTGAAAAAAGGAGGGGGGGTTGGGGTAGCTTGCAATAATAACACTAACTCCCTTTTAGTAAGTAGGTGCTGTGCTAGACTGCCTACATATAAATTATTAGCTCATTCAGCAAATGTTTTTGTGAACAACTCCTACGTGCCAAGAACTAGAAATACAACAGTGACCTCAGAGTTCGGAACCACCACCGACTTGGCCTATTTTTCTCCATGTACTGATAAGAAAAGCAAAACTCCGAGAGATTAAGCAATTCCCTCAAGGTGACAATGCTGGGATTCAAACCTGATCCGTGTGTCTTCAAAGTTTGACATTCCCTCCTCCACTATTACCCAGTTGTTTCCAAACCGTTCATTTTATTAAAAGCAGAAGCCTTTTTTTAATGAAAATAGAATTATCACATCACAGCTCAATGCAAAAAAAAAAAA